GACATTCCGTTAAGCGGTCTGTGACCCGATCGATGGATGCGATCAGATCATTATTGTTGATAGATCTCCTAACCTAGTGGCGAGGCGTCGGATCAGAGATGTCATTTGCAGGTGTTGGCACGATCGGCGCAGGGTGATCCTACACCACCTCCATGATCTTCCTGCTGCCGTTGGGGCCAATGACCCAAGTCATGGATCCGACCATGAAGATCTGGCCCGGCTCGAGAAGGGCCATGGAGCTCGAAAAGGTGACCATCTAATTTAGCATGCACACCCCCTACCTAGCGCACCGCTGTCAATGAAATATGGTCGGTAGTCTACCGAGGGCTATGCCCACGGTAGTAGATGAATCAGTGGAGGTGCGCATGAGGGAACCGGACGGTGACACAGAATGCAAGAGACAACGATTAGGCAGGTCTAGGCCGCTAACTTAGCGTAATACCCTATGCCTTGTGTCTTTCGGTGGGTTGTATTACGTATGATCAGATGAAAAACGAGGGGGTCCCTACCCACCTTATATAGCCCGGGGGTAGGGTTACAGATCGGTTGTTTCTATCCTGATCGATTTACAAGATAGGAAGTTACAGATATTACGGGATCTAACATATCCGAGTGGGTTTCCTAGATCACCAATGATCTTCATGCAGTCTTGCGAGGCACGCCAACCTATGTCGTGCTTTATGTGGCGTCGTCTTGTAAGATAGACCTCCACTAGTAGTGCGACCCATGCACAGCCTTATGGGTTGGGCCTCCCTGGTGGCTTGGCCCATATACAACCCTGTGGGTATCGGGGGTCTTACCCCCATAGCCGGACTCCACCTCCACGCACTTGTTGACGGCACCAGAGTAGAGCATCGTCGAGACAGGGAAGAGCATGAGAGGACCTTATTCCTTGATGCCGCTACCGATGCCTCAAACGCCGTTGCTGAAATCCTACACCTAGATCTGCTAGGACCTCCACCACTGACTGGCAAGAGACCAGTGGTCTCCACCATCTCACAAAGCCCCCAAGGGCCATCGAAGGCAAGGAAGACCGTCGCCCCCCTGGTGGAGACCGACGTGCTCGCTTTCTCCTTTCTCAATAGTAGCTAGACGAGAGAGTTCGAAAGGGGTCATAGTGTGTCCCTTGCCCACTCCTCTCTGTGGTCATGCGTTGTACCCCTCGGTGTGGCTGTGTCTGCGCTGGTGTGCAGCTAGGTAGTGCAGCGTGGTCGTATGTGTACAACGCCAACCACATAGAGCAGGTAGGAGCACAGTGGATTTGGGACCTTGAGCATCTCTAGTAGTCCCCAATATCATCCCTCATCCCCATAAAATAGCCATATTTGGGGAGATGAGTGTTTTCCTTACTCCAGCAGTTCTGCAATAGCTCTCCCAATTTTTGGTGATCACCCATATGTCCCTCATCTCCCCTCAAATAAGAGGGGAGTTTCATCTCCCCCAATAAACTGGACCCACACCAACTGTCATCCTTCTCACCGACATCTCAACAATGATGAGCTCCTTGACGGCACAGGCATGGCCGCAGCAGCATTTGGTGACATACCCTCGCGCGAGGGCGTTGACGGCACAGCCATGGCCCCGTGATGGCACATGCATGGCTACAACAACATGACCCAAGTACGCAACACTATTTGTTGGGCGGTGCTTAATCGGCAATCGTGGAGTCAGGATCGGCGCCACGACAGAGTATGCGACCACCACCATCTCTAAGAATGGCATCAAGTGCGTCGCCGCAAGGACGCCCGCAGCAATGGACGAGGCAGGAGAGGAAGTCGCCATGGTCGAATCGGGGACGAGGCAAGGACCTCTTAATACTGAAAATGGTGGCCATTTTCAGAGGTGGACCTCTTAAGAGGCCCGTCTTTATTAATGAGGCTGAGCCCACCACCGGCCCAATACGACCTGGTAACAAGTTCATGTATATCAACGAAGGAAACCCTAATCAGTTGCAGTCTCTCTCTCTCTCAACACAATATCTCAATCTCTCTAGTCTACTTGGCCATGGACGCGGGGGCAACATGCGCGGGGCTAGATCTTGGCGTTGCTCACAGGGCCATCTCCTGGCGACGCTTGTGGGCCTGTCGCCCTACGTCACGAAGGCAGCTCCCGACGCATGTGAGGCTGGTTTGCGGCTCCCGGCGGCGTAGGGCTGGCCCGCTGCTCCCGACGATGAAAGTCTGGCTCGCTGCTCTCGGCGCCATGGAGGCTTCTCTTGGCGGTAGATCTGGGCTCCCTGCGGTGGTGGAGCACGGTGGTGGTGGTGGGCGCTAACGAGTCTAGCGAGGAGCAGCGGTGGAGGGCCGTGGATCTGGCGAGAAAGAGCGGCGATGGCGCGTCGATGGGCTCAGCGGGCCTCATGGATGGGCTCTGTGGGCCCTTCAATGGGGTCGCTGTTTTTTTGTTTTCTTAATTTATTAAGCGGAGGTGGTCTACCCACCTCTGTTAATGCTTTTTGACCGTATGCGAAAGCGAAAATACGTATGGGAGTAGTGAAGTGAAAGCAGACGGTCTACCCACCTCTGTTAATGCTTTTTGACCGTATGCGAAAGCGAAAATACATACGGTAGTAGTGAAGTGAAAGCAATGTAGTAATGTGAAAACAATTATCTAGTGGAGCTAAAAAAACAATTATCTAGTGTATGTGTTGATCTATGAGTGGACGTTACTTTATGTGTGTCTACCAATTAATGATGAGCTTAAATTGTCTCCACCGTCTCTCTGTTGAACCAGCCTGTTTGCTTGTTGGTTTTAATCAGGGCTTATCAGTCAGCCAACAGTATTTTTCTCTCAAAATAAACTAGCACCAGCCAGGCTTATCAAGCCAAAAATCAACCAGCGGCCAAACAAATTGAACTAATTTCTAACTTAGTCATTTTAGATAACTAGTACAATTTGTGGAGCTGTAGAGGGAAAGTGGCTTTCAGACTACAGGAACAAGGAAATTACTCCTGGTTCATAACAAGGACCAACTGTGGAGTTTAGAGATACACAACCAATCTATAATAAAATAAAAATTAGGGGTAACCTATACTTTCAATCTTGTTTTTTAATCAGAAGTGATATATCCTGGGTATCACGGCCCACACCAAGAACAGAAACCGATTCTAAACAAGGGTTATGAGCTGGTCACGATAGACCTTTTTCTATAATACCGAGACCTCGGCCGTAGAAAATGGCAGCTGAACTTCAACGCCAACAATAAACCTTTAAGTCCCAAACAAATTAGGGTAGGCTAAAGTTAAAACCTAACAGAAGCAATTAAGGTTCAGACAAGTGAATAGCTGTTTTTCAAGCACTCCTATCTAAGGCTAAGTCTTTGGGTATATTCCATCCTTTCAAGTCTCCTTTTATTGTCTCTACTCAAGTCAACTTCGGTCTTCCTCTGCCTCTCTTCACGTTACTATCCTGACTTAGGATTCCACTATGCACCGATGTCTCTGGAGGTCTCCGTTGAACATGTCCAAACCATCTCAACCCGTGTTGGACAAGCTTTTCTTCAATTGGTGCTACCCCTAATCTATCACGTATATCATCGTTCCGAACTCGATCCCTTCTTGTATGACCGAAAATCCAACGCAACATACGCATTTCCGCGACACTTATCTATTGAACATGTCGTCTTTTCGTAGACCAACATTCTGCACCATACAGCATAGCAGGTTTAATCATCGTCCTATAAAACTTGCCTTTTAGCTTCGGTGGTACCCTTTTGTCACATAGGACACCAGATGCGCGCCACTTCATCCACCCTGCTTTGATTCTATGGCTAACATCTTTATCAATATCCCCGTTTCTCTGTAGCATTGATTCTAAATATCGAAAGGTATCCTTCCTAGGCACTACTTGACCTTCCAAACTAATATCTTCCTCCTTCCGAGTAGTAGTGCCGAAGTCACATCTCATATACTCAGTTTTAATTCTAGTAAGTCTAAAACCTTTGGACTCTAAAGTCTCCCGCCATAACTCCAGTTTCTGATTCACTCCTGTCCGGCTTTCATCAACTAGCACTACATCATCCGCGAAAAACATACACCAAGGGATGTCCCCTTGTATGTCCCTTGTGACCTCATCCATCACTAAGGCAAACAGATAAGGGCTCAAAGCTGACCCTTGATGTGGTCCTATCATAATCGGAAAGTCATCCGTGTCTCCATCACTTGTTCGAACACTAGTCACAACATTGTTGTACATGTCCTTAATGAGCCTGACGTACTTCGTTAGGACTTTATGTTTGTCCAAAGCCCACCACATAACATTTCTTGGTATTTTATTATAAGCCTTCTTCAAGTCAATAAAAACCATATGTAGGTCCTTCTTCTTTTCCCTATACCGCTCCATAACTTTTTCTTATTAAGAAAATGACTTACATGGTTGACCTTCCGGACATGAAACCAAATTGGTTCATAGAGACCTGCGTTATTGCTCTCAAGCGATGCTCGATAAAATGGCAGCTGAACTTCAAGGAAAAGAAAAAAAAAGGCAAAGTGTCATATGAGAAGCTCACAAAACAAAATGGAGTACTTGTCAACATATGTACTCCCCCATTCTAAATTATAAAACGCTTTGGCTTTTTTAGATATAAATACATTTGCTATGTATTTAGACATGTGTATATTATTTATTATTTAAGTGCATATTATAGCATAGTAAAAGTTATTACTCATCTAGAAAAAACAAATCGTCATCTAGAAAAACCAAATCGCCTTATAATTTGGAAGGGAGGAAGTATATTGTAAGACAAATAACAGCGGAATAACGGATTCGACACAAGATGGCAGTCAAGTAGGGCGAGAAGGAATTCATGTACCAAAACGACTTAAGTGATCATTAGGAAATCATAACGATATCTTAGCCAGGTATATAACAAATAACAAATTAAAGTTTACAACGCACTAAAGTAAAGCAACATAGTACGACACAACAAGCACTCATAGACCACTTGGGTATTTATTTCTACCGCACCAAATCCAAGTCCATTACGCAGGGATACCCGGCTATTACAGGCCTGATGAGTTCTCACGAGCTGCCACACCTCCGGTGCCACTGCTTCCTGCATCTGGATCCACCTCCTGTGGCTGGAGCAGGTTGGAGAGGGAGTTGATCATCGTTGACATTAGTATGGCATCTTCAGCCGCGCCTGTTGGCTCCATCTCCATGTCGATGTCGTCAAGGAGATCATGGGATATCTTCTCAATCACCATCGCGTCGTCCATTGTTGCTGAACTGACGTTCTTCTTGAAGCTCTGTGTTGTTGTAGTGTTGTTGAAAGCATAGTGGCTTAACTCCAGCTCCCTCATGCTGCTTCGCCTAATAATGTCGTCCTTGACGAGCTTCCTGACGTCTTCTGGACATACATGGCTGTCAGCATCGTCGTCCATGATCCTGCTACCACTGGAGACGATCTTGCAAGGTGTCGTTTGCAAGGACGAGCTGCTACTGTTGAACATGTTTCTACTCTGTTGAAGGCCGCCAGAATTAGTTTCTGTGAACACAGGGGCACGGCCTGAAGACGTGGAAACAAAGAGGCATTGTTAGGTCACAATCGATATCTTGGTGTAACTTTGACATGGGTTCTAGTGATTGGAAGAACTATATATAACGAAAGTTAAGCATGTCGTTCATGACCGTCCTACCACTGGAGAAATTGAGCTGTGCCTGGTGAAGCGTTTCTGAGGATACGCGACTCCAATTGAGCATGTTCCTGTGCTGCTCAAGGCCACCTGAAGGACCACCTGTGACCGCAGAGGAATGGCCAAGATCTGCAAATGGAAATTAAAGAATAATCAGGCAGTGTAATTTAATTTGATTCAGTTCTTGCTGTATTTAGTCATGTATTTTAATGATGATAGGAAGATTGTCAATTGTGGAAACAAAGTAATAAAAAAGAAAAAGGTAACTTGTAATACTATCAATGTAAATTATCAGTCCTCTGATACAAAAAAGGAAGTGCCGCTTTGAACTGGTGTGTGGTGATAAGTTTGCAATTTGACTAGGTCAACAAGTCCTAAAACAAATAAATTTGATTCCGTAGTATTACCAAGAACACTTATTGTTGATGATAAAATTTCAATGGAGTCACTAGATAGACACTTGGGAAACTAGACATATATAATCACAGTACATGTAGAAGTACAATGATCATATATCAGTATATACCAACTAAGATTTGAATAAGTTGATTTGAGTAGGTGCGAAAAATAGCAAAAGTTGCTTCTATTCTGTCCTTTCATTCTGAGTGAAACATTCAAGATAGTAGGAAAACTCGACCTAAAGATAGTAGGAGTATATGGCACTGGGACCAATATTTGCACTGTGAGAAACATTCAGAAAATGTGCATTGGCAAGAGCACAACTTGTGGTTCTCAAGTATAACCTTTTGTCAACAAATAGTAGTAGTATAAATTCTGATGTTCCAAAGTGTACCTGAGCATCGGGTCAGTATAGGCATGCCATTCAGCAATCCATTATGATTTCTCCCTATGATGTTTGTTCCAATTGACATGGGAATTGTTTCTCTGAATTGTGGTCCCACAAATTGTTGATAATCATTACGACGATATAAATCTTGTGCACTGGAATTCTCTAGGATTTCAGGTTCTGAGCGCCATTGTTCAAGATAAGGATTCTGTGTAGATTTTTGCAAGGACGAGGTGCTGCACCGGTTAATCATGTTTGTGTGCTGTTGGAGGCCACCAGAAGGGGCTCCTGTGGCCACTAAGGAACGACCAGAAGCTGGAACTAGAAATTAAAGAGTCATCAGGTTGTTTTGCTGTATAATTTAATTTAATTTAATTTCTTCACATATTTACTCATGAATTTTCAGCTGTAGAGACTAAGGACAGAAAGACAAAATTGTAAAATTAGACTTTCAATTCTTTGGTATAGAAATGAAGTGTTGTTTGGCTCAGGTAGTCAGGTGTTTGCCTGTTTGGTGATCAGATTGTATTTTGTCCACGATAACAAGTCCTAAATCATACAAATTATGATTGAAGTTTGAAATAAGGGCTTCCATGGTTGGTTGCAGAATTTGAACGAACTAACTACTGGGTAGGGAACTGGAAAGCTTATATACAACTAATATAATAATAATAATAACATCTTAGAATTAAAAGGACCATTTACCAATTAAGATTTGAACTAGTTTATTTGAGAATTTGAAGAAAATATATATTGCTCCTGTTCAGTCCTTACCTTCCGTATTTCAACATAATAATGACGGTATAAGATATTTGGAATAATATTGTGCTCATTCAGAATGGTTCGGAAAATGGCAAGTCATGATCTGCTACACTTTGCACATGGACATGGGCACATAATACAACTTGTGGTCCACTGTTTAACCTTCCTGTAAACACAAGCAGTGGACGGAAACACTACAGTACTGGCTTTTGAAAGTTTACCTGAGCTTGGGTCGAGTGTAGACATGCCATTCTGGGATCCATTATGATTTCTTTCACCAATGTTTGTTCCAACTGACATAGAAACCTTCTCCCCAAATTTTTGTCCCCAAAACCGTTGATAACCATAACAGTGATATAAATCATTGGCGTTGGAACTCTCAGGAACTTGAGACTCTGAATACCCTTGCTCAAAATAAGGATCAAGCTGAACAATATTGTCTTCCTGGCTCAATGAATATAGACGATAGTTACTGGAGAGGAGTAGCACAATGTGCTTGTTCAATATCTCTGCTGCACACTGCAGAACATGCCTTCTGAAACAAAGAAAATAAACAGGACCTTTTAGAAAACAAATGTAAACATGTGATGATTAAAATAAAATATTGGTGGTATGCATACAAATTCACCATATATCAAGACCATTCTTTGTATATACAAACCCGTTGTAATAAAGTTTTCTTACTTCATATTCGTAGCGCATGTTACCTCATCGTCACTCACTCCTATACTAAATATTTCCGATGGTGTCTAGACTCAAAACATTCTAGCAGTTCACCATCTACTACTTGTCATACAATTGAGTGGAAAAATAGATACACACATTGTGCCACAACATTCCCTAAATACCTTTAATAGTTTCTAATTTATTTTTTCATGAACTATTAATTGAATTTTATGTTATTAGTTTTATATAGTACTGCTTTAATTTACTGGACCGTGCATCTACTTCCTTTTTGGATATCACCAATTTTAAATTGCAAGATACAGTTATCCCTAAAAGAATGACCTATATAATATTTTGGTATCACTCATGAAAGGTGAACTGATAATCCGACGCCCTGCAATAGTGACATGTATTTTTTCACAAAAATTGAAGAGCCTTTAATTGTTCTCTAAGTTGTAAGAAAACTCTATTGGACTTCGTCAGACATTATGAATTCTCCAATATACAAAGATATCTTTGTTTGGCTAATGAATACATATTTATATTATATGTCTATCTCGTATTTACCTGTGTATGCTTGCTTGCCCACCAGTAAAATCTTTGGTCCCTAGCCACATTGTAGTCTTTCCTGGCTGCTGGTTGGTTTCTCTAAAAAATCTTGGCCTCTGATACAACTAATTAGACCACTCATAGTGTTAGAAGTAAAGAACATATTATATTGTTCATCAAAAAAATATTTTGGATAACATTACTGATTCACATTCATACCATAATCTCGAGAGTTCCAGGTCCACCATCTGGGCAAATCACCTTCAAGGCAGATATATTCTCCCAATTTATCTCAATCTTCCTCTTTAGACCTGCATCGAGAATCTCCCAGACCAATTTATTGTTTGCATAGTAAAACTTTGCAACAAGATCTCCATCATACCTCGACGTCCACTGCCAATTCAAAAGATTTACATGTAAACATAAATAGTGATAGTCTATGAAAATGGTAAATGCTTGATATGTCTCTCTTATTAGTTGCTTTACCAAATTCAATATTATGTTTGCCTGACACTATTTTGAAACTTCACAAAAGTAATTTTCTAAAATATTTGGACTCCATTCTAAACCTTTTTTGTGATGACTATTTTGAACTATAACAACACAACATATAGATTATAGAATATTCTAAAAATAATTACTAGGAGGAGCACTTTGGTGTAGGAAACTAACCTGCCAAGTCCCAATTCTGAGAATGTGAGCATATAATTTGGAAGGCTTTAGTGGTAGCGTTGTAACAGAAGATTGTGTGTCCGGAACATTAAGAGAAGCAATAGTAGGTTCGTATCTTCCTTTTGCTCTAATATCTTGAGAAAACTCTTTCCGGATCATCTTAAGCAATTCATCTTTATTCAATCTTAAGCCTAATAGGCTAGTTTCAGCTCCGGAATGCTCATTGGACATATCAGCATTATTATTATGTTCCTTTGGTAAAGGCAAACATAAGAAAATTGATTAGAAATGAGATTCAATACAAATTTATTTGTGCTAAATCATAGATGTGTCAATTTTTACTTTATAACTTTTGGTTAATATGAACACATGTATGTAGGTAAAGAAACTAACTAATATAGATTTGCACATATCTCAAAAAAGAAGTCTACAACAGCATAACAATAAAACGATGTATGATAAAATAAATTGTAACCAAAAGAAGTGGATATTATGGAGCTAGTTGGCATAACAAAGTCCACTTAATTCACTACTAAGAGTGTTATTGCATAATTTTTGTTGTGCATTTGGAGCCCTGAAACATTTTCATATACATATTTTCATGTTCTCATCCAACAACAAAATTAGATTAAGACACACATACTTATGAATTTGATATGTTACTTTCTTCATCCTAGAATATAGTGTATAGAAACATTAAAAAAATTATATGCAGAAATAAGGGATTTGGAGACAAGAACAATGTTGCATTAAATAGGCACACAAATATTACAATTACCTGTCATTTATCAAGCAATCATCCCCCTTTAGTTATGTGGATTGATGGCTTTATTAGGAAATAAAGCCAGGGTTAATATGTCTTTTATCTTCTCTCTTAATCTATCTTAAAATCTCTAGCAATGACAAAGTGAGTAGGTCATAAAACTATTTTATTGGTTGATTTAGTAAAAAGCGATATATGGTATTTTAGCATTTAAATAGTTAAATCTTTGATTCAATATAAAAAAACTAGAGAAAAATATATAGCTTTAAATATAATTATTTATGTTTCCATCTATGTATTTAATAAAAACATTATAAAATAGCCATCAATACACACGAACAATTCCATAGACATAATTGGTTTACAAAATATGGATCTAAATGATATGTACAAAAATATAATCAACTAACCGTTCAATGTTAGAACTTAGAAGGTGTTCATATATAAAGTGAATTGCCTGCCTTTTTCATAGTCGGTAAACACAACTCAATATGATATGGGAGCTAGAATTCTCAAGTTCAAATTCTAATGAGCACAATTAAATAAAAAACAATTGTTGCTCACCCATATTCCACATCTAAGGCCTGAGGGAGCCTTCATGTGAGGGGAAGTGTTAAAATATAAAGTGAGTTGTCCACCTTCCCCATCAACTTAAGCTTTTGGGTTGAACCGGTCCGTGCATGTAACCCAATAGAAGGCGCTAGTACTAGAATATGCCACACAAACCACAGCATGTTAAATGAATTGCCCCACCCCTATAATTCTAAACTTTTTTGTTATCACTAGCACTAGTTCCAAGTAGATTGATTAAAATATATAGCCACAACTAAATTTTGGACCAAGGTTAGTTTGAATGCTAGCAGAATTCACCTACATACAATGCTATTTTAATTTGGTTGTGTCGGTGCTAGCTTGTAAGTAATAACCTAGTATCCATCAAAGCCATTGCTTGGTTCAGGCATCCCTGAACTACACTTCTACTAGTCAGTCATTTTAGTGTACAATATCGACAAGGTAAAAGTTAACTAAGAGGAGTGACCAAGGTGGAAAAGGAAGGGAACAACATTACCCACACAAGTATCTATTGAACTAAAGGTGTGATGGCCACGAGATGCAATGGCGGTCTACTGGGCATTCCCCTGTTAGCTCTTAATATTTATGAGTTATTATATGCTAATCCACTTTTTAAAAATATTATTAATTTCATAAATATTGTTTGTATCATAGTATAAGGGAAATAATAACAAAAAATGAAATATAGAATATAGATGCATAAAGGAAAATATTTGTGGATGGTTTCTAAATTCAAGTTGCACATGGATACAACGAAGAAGACAAAGCCTCATCAAACTATACATATTTTATGTTCTGAGATGACTCCACAAAGAGAAGAAAATAGAAGCCAAATACACATTAATGAACTCTAGACTATAGTTAGCATGAAACCTTGTAGTTAATCCCTCCACTTCACTTAAATCTTGTAGTCCTCAAGTTTACCATTTATGGAATTTAATCATCTTTTTAATTTAACTAGCAAAATTTCCCGTGCGTTGCAACGGGTGATGGACAAATATATCATTACCATCACCTCCAAACTTCTACGGCCAATGGTCTAGCCTTGTTCATGAAATTTGTCGCAATATCTTGTATGATGTTGTTGCATGTATATCTAATTATTTGACACACGACAAATTTATAGTTATGAATGAATAAATTATTTTCTTAGTTGGAAGTAATAGGTATTGATAAAGTACTTATACGTTCGAAATTCGGTGAAGTTGAGCACGGCAGTGGCTGAGGAGTGAACTTCTTCTATTTATTCCTTTTTTATTTTGGACCCGTTTGGTACAACTCTGCTTTATTGGTAGAGCAGTTTTTTCTAACTTCAGCTAGTGGAGCAGTTCCACTAAAACTGTTTTAAAAGTACTTTAGGTTCTTCTAATTGTTGAAAACAAGAAAATGACTACAATACCCTTTTTGTTTCTTCTTCTCTCTTTTTTTCCTTGCCCGACCAATATATGGTTGCGCCTTGCTGGCCTCTGGCCGATCATCTACACGCCCGTGGTCGCGAGTTGCGTGGCTGCTCTTCCTGAGCCTCCTGCTCGGTCCTCGGTGGAGGGCAGTGTTGTTGCAGGTGAGGCGCAGGCCGCGCGGGCACGCGACCACCGCGCCGGGCGAGCGCGGGCCACGCCGTCACCACGGGCGAGTGGGGGGCCCGCCCCCAACGCAGTGGTGAGCACGGATCAAGTGGTGATGCGGCCTCGGGTGCTCGTTTGTCGTCTTCCTTGTCCTCTGAAACCTGAATCGAGCGTTGCGGTGGTTTTTTTTTTTGAGAGGACGGAGCGGTGGAGATAGAGCGGAAGAGTGCAAGTGCGATCAGGGTGACTCAGTGGGCTGATAGTTGGGCCGGATTGAATGGCGGACGAAAAATAGGGTGGAGAGAAAATTTTCCTTTTTAATATTATGTATACATATAGATATAGATACGTAGAAATCTATTCGATGTTTTGACATTTGGAGATCAATCTAAGCAAACTTCTAGAAACAGATATAGATAGATCATGTATACTAAACAAAACGGAAAATTTTTGTAGAACAGGCAAGGGAAAAACGGATGACAGATATACTAAACAAAAAAACAAAACAGGAAACAAAAAAAAAAAAAACCTGCATTGACTGGACGACGGAAACTGGAAAAGAACAAAAAGACGGACAGACATCTGAACGGGCGTGGGAACAAGGGGAACGCCCACCAGACAAACACGGAAAGCAGAGAAGAAAACAAAGGCCTGAACGGCTATGGAAAAATACGGACGGGTGAAAAAGTACCGCAGATGGCCGAGCGGTGAAAGGATTAGGCTGGACGAAAATTTGTTTAGTGCCAGAAATTTTGCCTCTTTATTATTAGGTATAGATTAAAGAATGGAAGTGTTCACATTTTCCATTTTAGTTTTACCATGTGTTTCATTTGTGTTCTCTGCATAGGCAACTACAAAGATGTAACAGACTGGGAGAAGCTTAACAATTGAATGTACAATTTTGAATGAAATGTTATATTGATATGCCTCCCAATGTATCAATCCAATTTCATCATCTTAATGTTGGAGAAATGATCAGTTCAAGGAGTTGGAAGGTGGACAAAAGAGTCATGAAATCCTAGAAGCACATTTAAGTGGTAGTAGGAGTAACGTTGTGTCTTAATCATTAGAGTTTAGAAGTGCAAATATCTATCTGCGCCAGACCCATGAATTGAAATCTCCAAGTTTACCTTTCTTTTCTACTATATTGCACTAATTAGTAGCATTTATTTTCGTCATATTAGTCTGAGTATATGGTCTACTATTCAATTATGCAATTAAACTAGTGATAGTAATATGGATGTTTGAATTAAAAATAGATCATTTTATCTGTCCTAATATGGTTGCTGCCATCATGTCCGCTTGAAAATAATTACCAACAATTCACCACAGAGAGACACAAAGGCATCAATAACCATGTGATTGGGACAACAACAATGGATTGAAAGGTTAGATGTCAGTTTGTCAGTATTAGAGGTCAGTGCAAGATCCAATAGAATGTATTTGATAAATTGTTTCAATGAGCCAGTTAACAATCATGTCAATGATAGAAGAGGGAATATGGATGAGTTACTATCATTAAATGTAGTGTTTTAGGTGGTTTATTCTCGGATACCATCTTCCTTGAGGAAGTCATAAATTTCCTCTAAAAAATAGGTGGAAGTTCAGAATTGATGCTTTCCTACTTCTTAAGTATTACAGTAACTATTAAGATAGCACATACTTATGCCTTGACAAGTGTCAGGCATGCAGATATATAGTTTAGTTTTCAAAATGTAACCATGGGTTCAATTTTATTAATTTTTAAACCACTTGTATTAACATTGGCATATCATTAAAGTTACTCATAAATGGCTTCTAAAATCAATCACCAAACTATGGAACTGTACTAAATATATATTGCTTAATTTCACTTCATAGCTTTTTGGTTGCAATTTGAAAGTAGGTATATCAACGAAAGTTATACAGCTCTTTTTTTTTCCAAATATTTCAACAAATTAGTAACCCCATTCACAGTAATTTGTGTCATGATCATACAATCTTGTGTTTTAATTCCTATCAATGCAATGGCACAGAGCCTAACTACAACAAAAACCTCACCAAAAAGGTGAAATACAAAAGTTTGAAAGTTGCTCGATAAAGTCACATGATAGAAAGTAAATCATACACAACATGTACAACCTGAAATTCCCATATAAGAAAAACCCACAAGCACAATAAATCAGAGATCAAATTTAATCTTCGCTAATTCCTTTCTACAACATTCTAGATTTCTTGAAGCCCTAAAACTTCAAAATGGATATTTTCCATCCATAAGTACAAAACAACATGAAAATAGAAACACTACTGATGACACAAGAAAAGTGGAAACAAAAAGGGGAAGGAAAACA